ATATACATATTATTTAGTCATCCTTATGAAGAAAATTACATAACAGGAGACTTGATAGATAAAGAATCAAAGTGTTAATGGTAATTATCTTTGGTTCTTCATTTTAATCAATTTTTTCCACATTTTGTCTTCTTAATGAACATTTGTTTACTTTATGAAAGGAATAAATGAATCCTCATTCTAAAGTTCAGGTATCCCTGAAAAACTTGTCTATCTTTATTTAGCTGCTTTAAACCCTGGGCAATTAAGGAACCAAGAGTGGGATCAGGAAGTGTGGAGGAAGACACAGGAGAAGGGCAGGAATAGAGGTCAGTGAGCCACAGGACACTTCTACTAGTATAGAAAGCAGGCAAGGTGGTGGGCAAGGGTTACAATGTGTATTTGCATGTTTTCCATAATCCTATCCCCTGGAGACGTTGTTTTACAGTTAGACATGAAGGTAAAAGAGTCACACCCTTCCCTACATTCAACTGTAAACACCACCTTAGTAGTTACCCATGCTTCCATTTTCACAAAAGAGGTACAAAATAAAATAGCAAAGGCCTTAGAGATATTCATGACCTAGGTGACAGAGCACTGTTGCCAATAAGAGATGCAATAGGAGACGTGAAAGTCAGAGGTGTCCGGGCTTTAAACTTTGAAAGTCTGGGTTATAGTATCCTCTTTTGCCTTCTACCTTTCCCCTGTTCCTGCTGCTACCTTCATGGTGATCTTCAATAAACATAGCAACTTAGTATTTACTATGGAGTATATGCTTGGCTGTTCTTTCCTCATTGTATATAAGAACCTGGACTACTTTCGGCCCATTGAAACAATAACAATTATTCTTTGCATATTTTTGAACACAGTAGAGCTACTTACCTACTTTTCAGTTTCACTTAGTATTGACTTGATTATGCTCGTCAAAACTACAGGAGCTGCAACCACTGTGGGATTAGTTATTTTTTAAATGAAATAATCTTACAATAGTCCATTCATTCATTTCTAAGGTTTTCAGCCACTAGCTACAGCATTAAACAAGATAGGATCAAATTTTAAATAGTATCCTAAGTACGGGGGTAGGGATGGATAATAAAAGGTAAACACATAAAAAGATGATTTTATGTGTTGATAGATTCTGTGGAAAAAATAAAGCAGGTTATTAGAGGCAAAGTGGAAGAAATTGGAATTTGATAAGAACCTAGGGGATGTACATATATAACACTGAACACAAATGTTTGATAAATTTTGATTTGTTGCAAATTTATGTTCAGTGCACTGTGTCTAGTAAAAAGAGAAAAAAGAGGGGCTCTTCTGGGCCCCCAAATCTAGTGGACTCATGTAACATCTGATGTTTTTTTAACTGAGGGTGGAACTCAGGACCTTGCACTTACCAAGCAGCCATGGCACCAATGAGCTAAATTCCCAGCCCTGGAGCATTTGACTTTTAATGCAGTGTTTCTGAAAGTGTGGACAGTGGACCAGTAGCATCAGATTCACCTTGTATTAGAATGTTGAATTATTGGGTTTTACTCTAGAGCTACTGAAAAGGAAACAAAGTGTGTTCAGCAGTCTATGTTTTAGCATCTTTCCTGTAGATTCTGATGCACTGGGAAGTCTGAGAGCCAGGACCTCACTCCCTGTGCAGATGAATATTAATTTGAACCAATTTCATTACTCCAATTGACTGCAAATCACTTAAAATTTAATATATTTCCTTTTCTCCTTATCTAAGACCTTTTTTATTAAGTTTATTGGTACATTTTAAGCGTACAATATAGTTACATTCATCATGAGTTTTTAATTAGATAGCCTTTATCAAGTTGAAATAAAAACCATCTGTTCCAATTTTCTGCAGGGTTTTTATCATAAATGCATATTGAATTTTGTCGAATGTTTTTTCTGCATCTATTGAGATTATCATATTGTTTTTGTCCTTGACTCTGTTGATACAGTGTGTTATATTTATTGATTTAGATATGTTGAACTATCCTTGCATCCCTGGGGTGAACCAAACTTGGTCAAGGTTTATGATCTTCTTGATGACCCTCTTTATTCTGCTTGCCAGTATGTAATTGAGGATTTTTGCATCTATGTTCATTAGGGAGACTGGCCTCTTGTTCTCTTTTTGGTTGGGTCATTCATTGGTTTTTAGAATCAAAGTAACACTTGCTACCAGGAATGAATTTGCAAGTATTGCTTCCCTTTCAATTTCATTGAAAAGTTTAAAGAGTAGTGGCAATAGTTCTTCTCTAAATGTCTTGTAAAATTCATCAGTAAAGCCATCAGGACCTGGGCTTTTCTTTGTTGGTAGTGCTTTAGTAACATTTTCAATTTTACTGATTGTAATTTGGGATTTTAGAATTTTTATATCTTCTTTGTTCAAATTGTGTAATTCATATGTATCTAGAAATCTGCCCATTTCTTCTGTGTTTTCCATTTTATTATAGTACATAGTAGGTATTGATTATTTTTTGGATTTCTGATGAATCTGTTGTAACTTCATGTTTTTCATACCTAATTGCATGGATTTGAGCCTTTTCTTTCCTTTTTTGATAAGGTTGGCTAAGGGTTTATCGATTTTATTTATTCTTTCATAAAAACCAACTCTGATTTATTGCTTCTTTTTTCTTTTTAATTGAGATTATTGGTACATTTTAGGGATACAGTACAGTTACATTCATTGTTAGGATCTTGTACCTCTACATGACAGGTCTTGGTTCTCACTTTTCTCCTTGTCCCTGCCCTCCCTTCACCCTTCCTCCCCTCCTCATTTACAACCACTTTATCTCCATCTTTTCATTTTCTCATATTTTTTCTTTTCCCTTATTACTCTCCCCCTACCCATCCCACCTTCCCTACACCTTTAGCCCCTTGCTTCCCATTTCACAATGTCAGTTATCTCATTAGGATTTTATGTACTATTATAGTTTATTCACACCAGAGAAACTATTCGGTATTTATACATGTGGGACTTATTTATTTCACTGAGGAGTATATCCTCAATATGTATCCATTTTCCTATGAATGAATCTAATTTCTCATGCTTTATGGCTGAGTAATATTCCATTTTATAGAAAAACCACATCTTCTTTATCCAGTTTCCAACTGATGGGCAAATGGGCTGTTTCCAAGTTTTAGCTACTACAAACTGTGCTGCTATAAACATGGGTGTGCATACATCACTGTAATATGATTCTTTTAGTTCTTTTGAAAAGATACCCAGCAGAGGGATGGCTGGGTCAAATGGAACCTCTAGTCCCAGCTCTTTGAGGTATCTCCATATTGATTTCCATAGTGGTTGCACCAGTCTGCACTCCCACCAACAATGGAGAAGGGTTCCTTTCTCCACACAACCCTGCCAGCATTTGTTATTGTTTGATTTCTTGATAGCAGCTATTCTTTGTGGGGTGAGGTGGAATCTCAGTTTTGTTTTCATCTGCATCTCTCAAATGACAGGTGATGTGGAACATTTTTTCTTATATTTATTTGCTGCTTTTTTTTTGTATTGTTCTCTTAGTCTCCATTGCATTGATTTCAGCTCTGATCTTTATAATTTCATTTCTGTATAAGCTTTGGTTTTGTCTTGCTCTTCTTTTTCTAGAAGTTTAAGATTCAGCATTAGGTTATATATTTGAGCTCACTCTATTTTCCTAGTATAGGCATTTACTGGTAGGAATTTCCCATGTAGAACTGCTTTCATTTTATCCCATAAATTCCTGTATGTTGTACTGCCATTACCATTAAATTGTAAAAACTTTCTAATTCTTCTTTAATTTCTTCTGTGACCCATTGGTTGTTCAGGACACTGTTATTCAATTTTCATGAGTTTGTGGCAATCTTGTGGTTTCTTATGATATTTATTGACCTGCAGTTTAATTGCACTATTGTCTGATAATATATAGGGGATAAGTTCAATTCCTTTGCATTTACTTAAACATGTTTTATGAATTAGTATATGGCCTATTTTGGAGAATGACCCATATGTAGCTGAAAAGAATGTATATTCTGATTTTCTGGTGTGGAACGCTCTCTAGATGTCTATTAATTCCTTTTGTTCAAAGGCTAGGTTCAGTTCTAGTATTTTGTTGCTCATTTTTTGTCTAGTTGATTAGTCTATTTCTGATAGTGGAATTTGGAGGTCCCCCACTACAACTGTATTAGTGCTTATTTGAAGGAACATGGGTACTGCACATTGGATGAAAAGAATGGAGGAGCACATAGTCTCTCCTCTGAGTCTCTGGAAAACGGCACACATTTCCTTTCACAAGTAGCTCTGCAAAGTGATCAATGACCATTCTGTGAGAGACACCATGCAGGACAGGGGAACAGCTGCACTTAATCTCAGCACATTGACAGTTGAAAGAAAAACTGCCGTTGTTTTAACACTTCTAGTCAAGAGAAGAACTAGATTCTTTCTGTTCCTATGGAAAAAATATGGCTCTTTGTATGTTGTAGATGAATTGATTCAAAACTAGTTGCTTATCCTTCTAGTTTGTTAGCTCTTAATAAGATAAACTACAATTGGTAAGACCATAAGTACCTCTTAAGAGAAAAATCAGTAAAATGTTCATAAAATGAACTCCAATATTGATGACATAGCTTATAAGGAGATATTTACATTTTTATATTGTTAATAGCCAAGCCAGGTGTGAAGCTGTGTTGCTGTTGTTGTTGTTGTTGTTGTTTTCTTCAATTTTATAACTTTTTTCCTATGCTGGGGATTGAAATTGTAGCCTTTGTATGATGCTACATCTCAAGCCTGGAAAATGTTTTCTTATTTTGTAATTATAACCAGAGCTAGGGATGCGTTTCAGTGCAGAGGCTCTGGATTCCCTCGCCGGTACCACAGAGAGAAGAGAAAGTAGAGGAGGGAAGACGCGCCAGCACACGATAAAGTCTGTTCTAATGGTCTGAAGAATAAATGTCTGAGCTGAAAACAATGAAGCAAAATGATGCTTTTTTTATTTTGAGAAAGGGTCCTACTAAGGCCCTACATTCCCCAAGGTGGGCTGCGTGACTTCTCTTCTTCACCAGTTGGTTGTCAGGGGCGCAGTTGCCATTTTCCTGTATCATAAATGAAGAAGCATGGGATGTGCTCCTCCTGACTGCTAGGTCTTCCTACGTACAGGAAAGAGAGAGGAAGGAAACAGAAAACATACGTCATCTTTTTGGGTATGGAATGTGGTGAAAATTACCTTATTTCAAACCAGAATAAAATTCACATTAAATATACTTCTGAGCAAAAAAAGTAAGGTCCAAAGTTGGAGTTTTCTTGTTCCAAGCTTTCAGATTTAAAAAGACATGTAATCTAAAACTAAAAGGGCTGCAAACCATACAACTGGAGGAAGTTATATTCACAAATGTAACCACTTTTGCTAAATATGCAAACCAAACATAACTGAGAATATTTTTAAATTATTTATTAATTAGTTTTAACATCACTTTCATTTCATATTCTACTATTTAAACATCCATACAATTCGGAGATTTTATGTTTCTGTCCACTTTTGAGTATACACCCAGGGTGCTTCTAGGCAGCCAAGAAGTGGACACTTAGCGGATTTACTCCATCTGCCTCACCGAGGGGCCTGTCATGGCTGGTGATTACTCTTGGTGAGCTCTGTTCTAAAATGTGCATGTGTGAAAGCCAAACTAATTACACAATTTCAATCCAAAACTGTCCCAAGTTTCTGACAAATTAGAGTGTAGAACAGGTACAAGTGTTATTCCTTCACTCACAGATGTAGAATGTGCTGCTAATACTACACGATATATAGTTTAGGAAAGTACATAGTTACTAAATCAAATATATTATGGAGAACAAAAGTCCTTTCATCTGTAAAATACACGTATGTAGTATATAATATGTTTTAATCATTTTGCTAAACAAACTTGTGACATCAATGGTATATATTACAATTTGGGACAAATTAACCATACAATCCTGTATTTTAATACATCTCAATAAAACCTAAACTATTTCATCAGAGTATCTAAAAGTGATACTCAATATAAGAAAGCCAAAATTATAAAAGATAGGATTTTGATGAAAATAAAGTGTTTGTAGATGGGGAGGGGAAGAGGGGGTGAAGGGAGGGCAGGGGTAAGGGGAAAAATGATAATCAAGACTTGTCATGTAGAGGTACAAGATCCCAACAATGAATGTAACTGTACTGTATCCCTAAAATGTATCAATAAACTCAATTAAAGCTAAAAAAAAAAGATAGGATTTTTGCAGTGAACACTATTGAAACATAATTGTTAATGAGAACTTTTGGGATTATAAAAAAACAATGACAATAAAATGAAATCTTAGAAGAGCAGATAATCATTTAGTTATTTTATAAAAAAAATAAAATATTTCTACTAGGACAAAGAGATACAGAAAGGTTCACCATGACACTGGAAACAAGGTACACTCAAGATATTAAAAAGAAATCTCTTTGTACCTATTTCATTTATTTTGTACATTAGTATTCTGGCACAGCCTTCAATTGGCTACCAATAGTACAACTAAGACAGTTCATATTTGTCCATACAAGAGGAAACAAAGGAAAAAAGCTGTTTATCCGTCTCATAGTAAGGAAAACTCAGGGCAGGCTAACTACCTTGATAAAAAGCAAGAACATTTTTATGGCTTTCAGAGGCACTGAAAAGACAAAAGAGCTATATCAAATTTCAAAACTGAGCCTGTTTCATGAATTGAATGCATGAAAATCTACAAGTCCAAAATAATACTCAAAAGAGGGAAACAAATATAAAACACGTCAGCAATTATTTTTAATGCAGAGAAATGGCAACTCTAGGAATATGTAATTATATTCATTGATTTTAATTTCTTTTACTGTGACAAAAAACTGAGATAAATGACTCAGGAGAAGGATATGTTTGTTTTGGCTTTTGCTTTCAGTCCATGGCCACTGGGCCCTGTTGCTTTGGGCCTGTGGAGTAACTTAGCATACAGTTGCAATATAAATCACAGGAAGTTGATCATTTCATGGTGGCCAGAAGTGAAAGAGACAGCAAGGGATCATGGTCTTAATTCCTTTGAAAGGGGCATGTACTCACTGCTCTAACTTCCACTCTGACTCACCGTCGGTAGCACTGAGTCGAGGACCAAGTTTTCAACATGCGGTTCTTGTGGAGAAATGTTCAAATGATTGCAGTAAGAATGAGAATTGAGTTCTGTTTTCACTATTCAGTATATTGTCGCTCATCGAGTCAGAAGCTTTCTCTACAATTGAAGAAGTAAGTTAGAGACGGATTTAAGCCAAATGCTCCTGAGAAAGGAAATGTGTCAAGAATATGCCATTGTACACAGCATGACCAAATAACATGAGGAATAAGAAGTGTGCTCCCAAATTACAACTTAGGTAAATGTTCTTAAGGGAAGAACTGATTGTGCAGACTCACTTATTATCTCCTGGCTAAATTATTGACAATGAGATGTCAACAGGCCATTCTTTTCAATTATTCCAACTGTCTGGGTTAACAGAAGAGGAAATAAAAATGGGTATGTAATACAGGCCAAACAAAACTTCTAAAACAATTTTAAGAAAAGAAACAGGATCTATAAAGCTAATACCTAGTGGAAATACTTGGTCTCACAAAGTCTCTCAAATGTAACAAATAAAATTGAACAATGAAAAGTGCCAGCATGAAGCACTCCTGCTAAAGTGTGGAAAGTATAATTAGCTTCTTATGCCAATGAATGACCCCTGGATCATCCAGAACTTGCAAATTCAGTAGGAACACGTGATGGTCATCCTCGACTGCCAACCAGACTGACATAAGGAACACTGAGAGTAACAAAGCACACTTGTGTGTCGGGGTGATGAGCCATGACCTACTGGACTGTGTGTGGTTCTGGCCCTGCCTTCCTTGCTCTTGCCATGTTTCTCTGCTTCCTGGCTACCGTGAAGGCCACAGCTTTCATCTGTCGTTCCCTTCTGCCACGTTATTTCTGCCTCCAAGCTAGCCATCCATGGGCTGAAACTTCCAAAAGCAACATCCAAAATAAACCTTTCCTTTTTAAATTTATGTATGTCAGGTCACAGTGATGGAGAAGCTGACTAATACAAAACAGGACACTAGCCTGCTATTTCTGTCTTTGATATGTCTCTGACCTGATGAATATGTGAAAATATGCTTGAGGAAGTTATTATAGACCCAAGATGTCCCATAAGCAAATGAAGAATGATTATGTGACCAGGAATGGGAACAAGAATAAGAATAAAAATGCAAAACAAATCTGCACCTATTGTATTGGTAATTTTATAATGAGGCTAAGTAGAAATATTTCAAATTTTTACATAATTTGATGTATGTTTTCAGTGTTTTTAAAGTGACTGAAGCTCTTAAATCAGACGTGGTATACTTATAATTTAAATTATATGATTACACAGGGACTAAATACAGAAAAATCAATATTTAAATAATAAGAAATTTTGGGTATATTCATTTTAAGCAGTCAGAATATTATTAAGTAGACATATAATGCTAAAATATTGAGCATCATTTAAAGGACAAGTGTATCCTACCATATTTAAGCACATAGAGGGAAATCAACAAGATAACTGAATAGAATCAATAAAAACTCACCTGCTCTGGCACAAAGAAGAACCAAAACAACAGTTGTATGAACACTTTGAGGCGAGTGACCGTAGGAGAACCCTGGAATTCAACAGCAGAAAAGAAATCTTGAGAAACAAAATATCCTGGCACCTGCCACCCCAACACCACAGCCAGGGAGAGGGAGTTTACCTTGCTCAGGAGGGAAGGTGAAGGACAGAATGTCAGCAAACTCTCCATAAAGATATTTGTAGTCCTACTTGTTGGGACATTTTGTAACTCTTTTGGGCTTACAACTTTCACAGATAGAAGGCCTGGCTTGAGAAAAAGAATTCATTTCTCAGCAAACCCCTTGGGTGCTTTAACCAGAAGTCATCTTAAGCAGGGATTACTGTCTGAATTTTTACCTCTCCAGGGGTCAGAAACTCCTAAAACTTCTCATCACTGGGACCCCAAATGCATTGCCCTATACTCTCTCTGAGTAGCTGCCTTACAAGCTAGATTGGCTTGGTGGAATCACTGTGACAGTGCTGGGAGTGTGTCTTCGTCAACTTCCTTATCATTGAGATGCAATATCTGACACTAAAATTTAAAGAAAAAGAGCTTTCTTTTGGCTCATAGCTAAAGTTCATGGTTGCCTGGCCCCTAAGCATATATGGCATGTCAGGGGGACATAGAAAAAGAAAGCTCCTCAAATCATAGTAGCCAGGAAGCAGAGAGAGACAGAGAGGAGCGGGGGAGTATCTGGGGAAGGAGACATGCCTTTCCAAGCCATGCCACCCATGTCCACCTATTCTGAGCAAATGCTACTCTTAACAGCAAGTCAGCTATATCACAGCCTGATTCAGTCACTTTCCAGAAGGCCCAGCATGAGTGCATAAAGCTTTTGGGAGACATTCTTTGACTAAACTATAACATTCCATCCCTGGATACCCAAAACTCATGTGTACCTCTTTAAGTAAAAAATACCATTATACATTATATCTTTATACCATTGACTCCATCTCTAAGATTCACAAAGTCTTAACAGTTCTAGCATTGCTAAAAAGTCCAAGCCCAAAGTCAAGTCTCCTTTGACACTTAAGCAAACTCTAAGGTGTGAATCCCCATAAAAATAAAAAAGAGTTCAACCCCCAGTACCAAAAAAAAGAAAAAATAGAAAGAAAGTTAAACACTGCAACTACACATTGGAATATGGAATATTGGAATATTGAAATATGCAACTGCACATTGGGAACATACTCCCAATCAAAAAGGAAGCAACAGAGGGATAGAAAGGAACGGGATCAAAGAATGAGAGAAATGCAGCAGGGCAAAAATTAATTCCCACATTCCATGTGCAATACCCAAGGCAGGTGATGGTAGATGTGAACTCTGAAGGGTCTGAGTGGCCTTGCCCTACAGCATTGTTAGTTGTAATTCTCATGGACTCTCTCTTAGGCTGGCTTTGTTCACTGCCTCAAGATTTCCTCAGTAGATCATCCATATTTTTGGCATAGCCAACTACCTGGGAATGTCCATTGCATTTTTAGCTTCACTCATACATCTTAATGCACCATCCCCTCAAAGGCCCACTGCCATGCCTCTCAGGCCTTTCTTTGAAACCTGGAAGGAAGCTCCCCTGACTCCACATCTCTTGCATTCCCCATGCATCACTTGGTAGTTGCCTTTGCCACCTTGTCAAGCTGTAGCCAGTCCCTCTTGGATTATGGCTGCAGAGGCCTCCAAATACCCAAATAGCTGAGAATTATCAATCAAATTTCAGGGACCAAATGTCTTAGGTGGCCCTTTACAGCAGGGGACCCTTGGGTTTTCTTTTGAAAGCAAATTCTTTCAAAGAAGTTTACCCTTAACCTTTTACACACTTGACCCAATGAAGAGTGGAGTCTTGCTGATTCCCAAGATATCCCCAATGCATCTTTACTATTGTCTTGATGTCAAGTAATTTATTTCTTTCTAATGCTGATATTTTAAGCAACCAATCTCTCCAATGTATTGACCTTGCTGGTGTTTTCTTTTGACCAAGCTTCATGCCATTTGGCTCTGGATTTTGTTCCTGATTCTTAGTATAAATTTCAGTAAAAGCAACAAGCAGTACTTATGCTCCAGCCTGATCATTGAACTACCACATGAACAGATAATCACAGTAAGGAACCCACTCCTGACACCAAGTTTTGGTCACTTTTTTCATCATTGGAACATAATATCCAATATCCACAATTTGAAGGAAGAGATTAGTTTGCTTCCCAATTACAATCCATGGTCTTCTGGTTTCAAGGCAGATACTTCACAGCAGAGGAGGATAGTGAAAAGGTGATCATATCATGACAACCTTGAAGTAGAGAGAGAAGGGAGGATCTGAGAAGGGAAATATACAATTCTAGGTTGCATCCTCAGTGTCCCAACCCTTCCAACCAGACTGAGGCCTTTGAGAGACACTCTCTATATAAACCATAACAGAATGCTACATACTGAGAAACAAACAAGCATGGCAATTTCAAAGGGAGTGGGACCTCTGCTCAAAGAATTAGAGGATTTAGGACCCTGCCCTGCAAGGCCAGTAGTAATGTGTAGTTTTGCATGGGTTGCAGGATTAAGGGAAGTTTTCTGTGCCATTATTTCCATGCCTCTCCCAGTGCTACCAAAAATACCTGTAATTAAAAAGGTTGAAAAAGAATTCCATGGTTCCACTTCTGTTCATCCCAGAGGCATGCTGAGGTTATCTTCAGCCAAGATGACTGCTGCCCTGACTGCATGGTGCAGAGTCTAAGGAGGTCTGGCAAGAAAGTGTCCAGTGTATACCATATTCCATTCTTGCTCATTTCTGTAAGAATCTCAACTGAAAGGAATTTTTGAGTCCCAGCCAGTTCTGTGTATCCATTCCTACTGCTCCTAAATAAGTGATGAGTACAGGAAAAAAATCTTAGTTGAGTAAAGCCCCTATCCCTTTGCCCATTGCCACACTTGCACAGTTAGGAAGGGGGTCTAAGGTCTCACTGCTGAATGGAGTATGCCAAGAGAAAAACACAACTTTTGCTGTCACTTTACCTATGTTTTCCCAGTATTGTGTACCCTTGCATGTTGTCTGACCACACACATCTAATAAGACAGATGTAAATGTCACAGAGGAGCACTGTGACTTCTGTCCCTACCTTTTCTCTCAGAGTACCTTGTCTATACCAGTGTCTAATCAGGAAACAAGTTCTTCAGCCCCATCATCAACACTGCAGCAGAGTACAAAAACCTTTTCAAATAATAGCCAATATCAGAAATGCCTGAGGACACTTCCATCACCTGGCAAGCAACAATAATCCCATTATAAGAGTAGCTACATAAGATGCATCCACACACTCTGCTGTCTGTACCTTATCTGCCTGAACTGCTAACATGCTCTTTCCAAATTCAGTATGGCACAATATTCTCAAACCTGCTAATGACAGTCAAAGAAATCTTAGGAAGTTTAAGTGCCTAGCTGGAAATTCAATTGCATAACAAACTAATACCTCTGATATAGCTTCAGGAGAAAGCTGTTTACTAACAAGGCCAACTTATAAAAGTAGTAGGTATACATTCCACCAAATTTTAACATAGGAACGTAAGAAATATGGAAAAACAAGGTAATATGATACCTTCTAAATATCACAACTCTAATAGTAGATTCCAAAGATACTGAAGTGGCTGAAAGCCCATAAAGAATTTTAAAAATAATTTTAGGAAAGCTCAATGATCCAAGAAAATATAGATAAATAATTAAATGAAATTAAGAAAGCAAAGCAGGGTATAAATGAGGAATTCAGCTAGAAAGATTTTGAAAATCTTTCAATGTGAAGTCTTGGAAATAAAGAGGTCACTAAGTCAGATACAATGTCTATGGAAAGACTAAAAAAGTAGACTGAATAAAATGAAAAAAGCATATCAGAGCTTAATAAAAATTTTGAAATAGTACATTCAGCCAGAAATATAAAGTACAAATAAAGAAAGAATACAAGATCCTTCAGACAATATCAACAATAAAAGGTCTTCATCAGGAACATCCACAAAGGGGAAAAAAGAAAGGATAAGGGCATACAAATCTATTCATCAAGTAATACCAAAAAAAAAAAATCCTAGCCATAGGAAAGACATAAAACCCAAGTACAGGAGGCCTACAAAACCTGAAATAGGCATGATCAAAAAGATCTTTAACATGATCTATTATAGTAAACTGCCAAAAGTACAAGAAAAATAAATATTTAAAATATGGGAGAAAAAAGTATCAAGTCACATTTAGGGGCAACCCCATTACATTAATAACAGATTTCTTAGTAGAAGTACTACAGACCAGGAGAGCATGAAATAATATGTCATGAAAATAACTGCCAATCAAAGTTACTACAACCAACAAGAATTGAAGGGGAATTAAAGACTTTCCAATTAATTAAAGGATCAATGAGCACCAGACAAGTGTTATAGAACATGCTTAAAGGAGTGCCACACCCAGAAGTGGAAGAAAAATAACTATCCTTGTGAAAGTAAATCCCACTACACAAGTAGAAACCACAAATTAAGATTGATAATCAAACTTAATGCAATAAATCTTCAAATCACAAAGGCAAATGAGAGGAAGAAATGAATATAAGTATTAAAAACAGCTAGAAAAAATAAATACAATAATAGGCAAAATCCATACTTTTCAATGATAATTCTGAATATGAATGGTCCTACTTTCCAATTAAAAGATACTGACTGGCTAAACAGATTAAAAAGAAAAACTAACAAGATGCTGCCTACAAGAAACTCAGCTCCTTAGCAAAGACACACATAGAACTGAAAATGAAGGAATGGAAAAGATATTCCCAGGTATTAGAATCTGAAAACAGACAGTAATACCTATACCTATATGACAAATATACTTTAAGACAAAAATATTATCATGAGACAAAGAAGGCTACTATAATGATAAAGAGATTACTTCATCAAGAATATATAATAATTATAAATCTATATGAATTGAATTTCAGAGAAATCAGTGTTATAAAACAAATACTATTAGAGTTAAACAGAGAGATACAATCTGATACAGTATTAGAGAGGAATTTTAATACCACACTCTCATCAATGGTTATATAGATAGAACCAATCCCCTCCACTAAATCAATAAACATCAGAAGCCAGGGACAGTAGTGTCTTCCTATAATCCTACCTATTCAGAAGTCAGAGAGGCAGGATAATCACATGTTCAAGATCAGCCTGTGCAAATTGAGACTATATTTCAAAATAAGAAAGGGAGAGCATAACATCTCTGGGCTTGATCCCCAGCAAGAAAGAGAGAGAGAGAGAGAGAGAGAAAGAGAGAAGGGAAGGGAAGAAGGGAAGAAGGGAGAAAGGGAAAAAGGGAGAGTATAAAACATCAGAGTTAAATACACTATGGATTAAAAGGAGTTAACAGATATTTACAGAAACATTTCATCCAAGAGATGAAGAACACACATTTTTTTCATCAGTGCATGGCACTTTCTCTATTGTAGACTAAATATGAGGCTTCAATACAGCATTATCTCTGATCATAGTGCAGTGGAGCTTCAAGTGAAACTGCAGAAATTATAAAAACACATAAATATTACACACTACACTTTTACATTAATAGTAGATCATTGATGAAGTTAGTGGGGAGATTTTTAAAATATCTTGAACAAAATAAAAATAGAAATACAACATACCAGAACATGTGGAATATTATGATATTGTACTAAGAAGAAAGTTTATAGCACTGAATATCTACATTAAAAAAGAAATATTTCAAATAAACAATCTAATGATGCATTTGAAGGTCTTAAAAAAATAAGAACAAAACCAAAACTACAGTTAAAAGAAATAATAAAAATAAAATAAATTGTAAAAGAAAGAACAAGACTAATAAAATATAGTTATTTCTTTGAAAATTTCTTAAAAATGGAAGATCTTAGGTAGACTAACAAAGAGAG